TTAATTGAAAATTCAGAAACGTCAAAATTTGAAAAATTAAAAAATATTGAAGAACTGAAAAATCGAAAAATCGATAAATCAAATATAAAACATTGAAAAATTAAAATATCGTAACACTGAAAAATTAAAAAAAAAAATTCGAAAATCTAAAATTTAATAATCGAAAAACTGAAAAATCAAGAATTGAAAAATCGGATAATTCAAAAATCGAAAAGCCGAAAAGTAAAAGATCTAAAAATAGAAAGCCGAGAAGTCGAAAAACCGAAAAATTGAGTAGCTGAGATAGGATACAATCGAAAAGTTAGAAATGGAAAAATTAATAAATCGAGAGATTGAACAATCAAAACACCGAAACCTCCGAATGACGATAAATCGAAATGTCAAAAAAGTGAAAAATCAAAAATTTTAAACTTTGGAAAATTGAAAAATATATAAAAGAACTGAAAAAACGAGAAATCGAAAAATGTAGAATTTTAAAAATTGAAAAATTAATATATCGAAAAGTTGAAAAATTGAGAAATCGAAATATAAAACAAACGAAAAATTGGAAATCTAAAGTTTAAAAAACGAAAAACTGAAAATCTAGAAAATAAAAAATCGAAAAATCTAGAAGTCCAAAAATCGAAATATCAAAAAATTTCATAATTGAAAGAACTGAAAACTCGAAACTTTCACAGAAGTCGAGAAATGGAAAAATCGAAAATAGTTTCATTAAGAAGTCGGGAAACTGACAATTTACTAACGTCAAAATTTGAAAAATTGAAGAATAAAAATACTGAAGTAATGGAGAATCAGAAAATTGAGAAATCGAAAAATCGAAAAACCAAAAAATAAAAATTCGAAAATCTAAAATTTAAAAATTAAACAATCGACAAATCGAGAAAGCGAAACTCTAGAATTTAAAAAATTGAAAAATTGAAAAATCAGATAACTGAAAAATCGAAACATCGAAAAATTGGAAAATCGAAAAATTGAAAATTCCACGACTAAAAATCGAAAAACCGAGGAATACAAAAATCGAAACATGGAAAAATTAGAGGATCGAGAAATCGAGGAGTCGAAACATCGAAAGATCTGAAATCGATACATCGAGAAATCAAAAAATTAAAAAATCAGAAAATTTTAAAAAAGAAAAATTGGAAAATCGATATTTTAAAAATTGAAATAAAAAAGAACTGAAAACTCGAGTAGTCGAAAAACCTAAAATTTTAAAAATTGAAAAATGAAAACATCGAAAATTTGAAAAATTGAGGAATCGAAGTATAAAACAGTCGAAAAATTGGAAAATCTAAAGTTTAAAGAAAAATTGAACATTCAAATAATAAAAAATCGACAAATCAAAAAATCCAGGTTTCCAAAAATCGAAATACTTAAAAATCCCAAAACTGAAAGAAATATCCAAAAACTTGAGGAATTAAAAAATTGGAAAATTGAGATATCGAAAAACCAAAAAAGCAAAGTCGAAAAAACGAAAAATTGAAGAATTAACGAACTGAAAACTCGAAACTTTCACAGAAGTCGTGAAATGGAAAAATCGAAAATAGTTTCATTAAAAAGTCGGGAAACTGACAATTTACTAACGTCAAAATTTGAAAAATTGAAAAATAAAAATACTGAAGTAATGGAGAATCACAAAATTGAGAAATCGAAAAATCGAAAAACCAAAAAATAAAAACTCGAAAATCTAAAATTTAAAAACTGAACAACCGACAAATCGAGAAAGCGAAACTCCAGAATTTAAAAAATTGAAAAATTGAAAAATCAGATAACTGAAAAATCGAAATATCGAAAAATTGGAAAAATCGAAAAATTGAAAATCCTACCATAAAAATCGAAAAACCGAGGAGTACAAAAATCGAAACATGGAAAAATTAGAGGATCGAGAAATCGAGGAGTCGAAACATCGAAAGATCTGGAATCGATAAATGGAGAAATCAAAAAATTAAAAAATCGGAAAATTTTAAAAAAGAAAAATTGGGAAATCGATATTTTAAAAATTGAAATAAAGAAGAACTGAAGACTCGAGAAATAGAAAAACCTAGAATTTTAAAAATTGAAAAATGAAAGCATCGAAAAGTTGAAAAATTGAGGAATCGAAGTATAAAACAGTCGAAAAATTGGAAAATCTAAAGTTTAAAAAAAATTGAACATCCAAAAAATAAAAAATCGACAAATCAAAAAATCCAGGTTTCCAAAAATCGAAAAGTCAGAAAATCGAAATACTGAAAAATCCCAAAACTGAAAGAAATATCCAAAAACTTGAGGAATTAAAAAATTGGAAAATTGAGAAATCGAAGAACTAAAAAAGCAAAGTCTAAAAATTAGACACCTCAAAAATCGAAAAACTGAAGAATTGAATAAGTGAAAAATCGAAACTTTTTTTTGGAAAGTGCCGAAATGGGAAAATAAAAAAAGATTACTTCAGAAATGGGAAAACTGAAAATTTAGGGGCGTCAAAATTTGAAAAATTAAAAGATTTAAAAATCGTAAAATTGAAGAGGACAAAAAATTGCGAAATCGCATCATTAGAACATCGTAAAATTGGGAAATCTAAAAATAAAAAATCGAGACATCGAAAATTTGAAGAATAGAAAAATCGAAAAATCCCAAAATTGAAATATTGAAAAATTGAGACATCTATAGTTGAAAAATCGAGAAAACGTACAAGTTCAGGGCTATGCTACTTTTTAAATGTTAAAATAACATTTATTCGAGAAAATTGTAGTCTAGTATCTGCTAAAATAATTTTAAATTATAAATGTTGCACAATCCAAATAGGAAAACTTGTTGTGAAATTAATTCTATAATAATATAAATAAAAAATAGATAAATAAATAAATAGCTAAATAAATAGCTAAATAAATAGGTGTTATGTTAAATTTCATGCTAAAGGAATGCCATGTCTTTCAACATGAAAATACTGACATCCACAAAATAAATCTTACTACTGTGATTCACGATATTTGGATAATAAAATAGTAGATCTCAAAAAAAATCAAGCGTTGCGTAAAATTTATTTTTCCTAAAACTTGCCTAAAGCGCTTATTTGGCACTTTTCGGCCCCAAATCCCCCGTTTTTCCCACTTATTTTGACTTTTTTAGGCTAAAATCCGCTCTTTATTGATTAAAATTGGGATTCTACAAGTGTCGCGTTACCCAGTAACCGCTGCACCAAGCTGTATATTTCCATTAATCTGCTGGGAAATTGAGGCGACATCGCCGCCGAATAAATTCTGATAAAAATGGTTAAATATTTATACCTCTCTTAGAAATATTCGCGATGCCTTTCCAGAGTAATCGTTATTTGTATCGTCTAACCCCCGTGCTTTTTAAAGACTGTCATAAAGTTGAATATAAGAAGATTGTGTCGGAACATTTATTTTTTCTATGAATATAAAATTAGTTTAACGCCAATATCGTGCGACTTTCTCACATGCAGTTGCAGCTTTTTCCTCTCCCTGAACTCGTTCGAGGTGTCTCTGCCCTTAAGCAAATTTTTCATTTTCGGTAATTGCTCCCTTTATACATTGAAAATCGATTTATTCAACAATATAAATACAAAGCCATTGTTTGGTATTGTTTGTGGTCGTGCATTGTTCCTATACCTTGTGTTCCCATTACGGCTATAATTAAAGTTATATTGCGACGTTAATTTTTGCATTGTACTTCGGAGCGTTATCAACGGGATTCCGTTTTACGAGTTGCAAATAAGATAATACACGGCACTTTATGGACGGAGCTGTAAATTTGATCCGGAATTGTGATGCCGACACGGAAGATAACGACGTGAGAATGGGAAAGATAAAAAGGGTGAGAGAGGCTTTCGAATGATTGCATTTTTCTTGCTTTGTGTTCGATGTACATTTGTACAGGTTATAACTAGTTTTTTTAGTTAACACATATAACTTAATTCAATCATATCTACATCTATCATAACATTATTTCTCTTTTAAAATAACTCACAATAATTTTCAACTGAAGTAGTTTACTAATTTATGAAGCCGAAAACCCTGGAAACATTTCATTTAAAATGAAACATTTTACTTTGTGGTTAATTGATATTATTTTCAGGTTTCTCTAGAAGGCTAAGAATATAAACTAATACATATATCTTTATCTATGAAATTATTCAGCTATGCAATTATGAAATAGGTCCATCTGATGAATGGCTAATTTAATATATGCTCGACATTTCATAGCTCCTAGAATATGAGAAAATAGGTTTCCCGTTTCAGTTGTTGTTTGTTGGCGATTTTATTGAGCAACCAAAAATGTTTCCGTCTATCTGACGTCTGTATCAGTTTCTACTAGACACATAATTTCCGAAACTACTGGACTGATAGTTCTCAAATTTTGTGTGTATATTAGGAATATCATATATATTTTTGAAATTTTATAAAATGACTTACTCCTGAAAATTGAAAAATTAAATATTGAATACATGAAAAAGTTTTAAAATTTAATAATTGAAAAATGGAAAAATTCTAAAATCGTAAAACTGAAAAAGTGAACATTTGATAAATTATAATTAACGTACCTACTTAAAGTGAAAATTCGAAAAATTGCAAATCGAAAACTGAAGAAACAAGAAAAATGAGAAATCATAGTTCTGTCGAAATAACCTGCGGCCATTTTTTGTAGTTCTATTTGACTTCATGTGTTTTGTTACTGTTGCTGATAATATTACCAACGCAAAGAAATGATTTACACTAATCGCTCGGCAAACATGCAATGACATATATTTATTTGCTTTATTTGAAATGCAAAAATTCATTAAACGTCACTCTCCTACTGTAATAAAATAGAAAAGAAAATATGCAGCCTTTATCAAAAACAAAATATGTAACAACGGATAAATTGATCTGATTAACAGTGTAGCAGCTAAAAAAATAAATAACAGCCTTATCATAATTTATGGGAAAAATATTTGAAGTGTCACGCATATTAATTTTATTAAGTAGCTTGACACGATCATGATTCCGAAGATAAGCTAGTACAGGTATAAAAACAGTAAACTAGCGACAATTTTTCAGATTCCGTTCGTACCAGAAGTGCAGTAAGGTATGTAGAAATTAATTTACCGTAGTAATGTACGCTTTATGCTGGATATTACGATTATAAAAGATCGTAAATCAAGTTGGCTTTGGAATTTCTTGAGTTTGCCGCCTCGTTGTGATCGTTGGTATGAGTACACCACAATCATAACGTAACTTTTTTTAAGTGTGAGAATTTACACAATATTTTGTATGTCAAATAACGAAGCGGCAAATTCTTATTTTTTCCTAAACCAACTTGATGTACCTACTATATTTTATTATCACCTTGTATTTTACAACTTGAATTTTTTTTTAGATTTGATTTTTGCTTCTTTGTTTTACACATATTTAAGGAATATTTAATGTACTGAGTGCTCACAATCCTACTAACTGATTAAAAAGTAGTTCTTTTATGTAATATCAGCAACATTTTTGAACAGTTTTGAACAAGAATTTCTCTAATCATTCTCACCAGTAATTTGATGACATCCCTCAAAATGTTCTACATTACTCATTATTTAAATTTCATAAAATAATACTCCTACATTTGTGGTTTATGAATCCGCCTTGAGTTTTTCCTGTAGGCACCAACATTTTCAGTGACGAAATGGTTAAAATTACCCACCTCGGACTTGGAATATGAAAATGGTTACGCGTTTAATTACATCATTGGTCATTCTATTTTTCTTACATTGTTACTGGCATTGTATTTTGTATGTACAGAGGTTATCGCAAATGAAATGTCGTAAAATCCAATTTTATAATTTTTCAAACAAGCGAAATTTGTTGGACTGTATTTCAGGGATGAGGGAAGTTCTATCGAAATAACCTAAAACCATTTTTTTTTAAATTAGTGTCATACAGCGTTTGTCATAGTACATTAAGTCCAACAAAAACATTGTAAATAAATAAATAAAAATATTGTAACTGGAAATTGAGAGTGAAATAAATTTAAACCAGATGAACAACGAGAAAATTGTGGATATTCTCAATTTCTCAGTACATGCTTAATTTCGACTGTTTATGGTATACTTCGAAAGAATTCGACGAATTATCACGTTTAGCGGTTAAAAGAAAAGAAAATTTGATGGAATTAATTAACCACACTATGTTTTTTTCCGAAACACATTAATGAATTTCTAGAACTTTTATTCAGCAAATTTGTATGATGACCGACATAGTTTGATTAACGATTCCAATAACCTTAAAGTATTTGCAAGATTTCACAGCATTCAGTCTTCGGAGTTTCAAAGTTAAATTGTAAAATACTGGTATAAAATTTTGATTTTTTCCTAAAAATCTGGGTATCAAGGGGTAAAACTCAGATTCATAAATAACACACAATATTTGTTCGGCAAAATTTTAAAATAACGTCATCACTTTTTGGGGGGACATAAACGAAATCATTTTTGATTAACGATTTACCATGCTTACGATAGCCTTAAAACGTTTGCAAGATTTCAGAGCATTCCGTTTTATGATTTCAAAGTTAATCTACAAATTGTTATATAATTGTAACTTTTTTTCCAAAAATTTGTGTTTCTAAGGTACATATTCAACACGGATTCATAAACCACTTGTGCAGGAGTATCTTATTTTGTAAAATTTAAGTAATATCTGCTAACGATAATGTTGAGATGACGTCATCTTTTTGTTGCTGGGGATGAGTACCATCTGCACTATATTCCTAATACACACATAAAATTTGACAACAATCGGTCTAGTTGTTTCGGAGATTATCTGTCTAATATTTTTATTATCCGGATTTTTTTTGGACGGATAACAGACGAACAGACGAACAGAAGGACAGACGGACAGACGGACAGACGGACAGATAGACAGACGAACACGGGAGACCTAGTTCTTCGTACTGTAGGGGTCATGATGGACTCGATTACAATACTTCCTTTGTTTATGCACAGGAAGTAAACACGGAAAATTAAAATATTTGGAAAACGAAAACATTTAAAAATTGAAAAACTGAAAAATTGGTAAATCAAAAAGTTTTAAAAGTGAAAATTCGAGAAATTACAAAATTGCAAAATTTTAAACATCGAAAGAATAACTAAAGAAGCAAAATATTCAAATAGTTTAAAATTACTAAAGAAAAATTAAATAAACCAATAGTAAAATAAAAATCGAAAAATTAAAAATTCCAAAATGCAAATAGAAATCAGAAAAATCGAAAAATTAAAAACTGAAATTCGAAAAATTGCAAAATCATAAAAAATCAAATGGAAAAATCCAAGGTTGAAAAATTCAAAAATCTAAAAAATGAGAGATGAAATATGGAAAATTTGAAAAATTGAAAAGTTAAAAATTGAAAATTGGTAACACTGCAACACCAGAAAACTGTAATATTAAATAAAAATCGAGAAATTGGAAAATAAAAAATTGAACAATCCATAAACTAAGAAATCAAAACAGAAAAATTTTAAATTGGAAACTAAAAAAAAATACAAACCAAAAAAATTTAGAAACGAAAAAATGAAAAATTGAAAAAGTTAAAAATTAAGAATTGAAAATTTTTAAAAGCCAAAAAATTGCAGAATAACATGAAAAAGCTAAAAGCTAAAAATTGAATTAGTTTGAAAAATCCAAAAATTACAAATCGAGAAACTGAAAAACCTAGAAATTGAAAAATAGAAAAATTTAGAAGCTGAAAAAATCGAAAAATTGTAGTATCGTAAATTTGACTAATCAAAAAACTGAAAAACTGAATAATTGGGAAATTGAAAAATCTAAAAGTTGAGAAGGCCTATCTAAAATTAACAAATTATAACACTGAAACATCAAAAAATTTAAAATCGAAATATTGAAAAATTTAAAAATTTAAAATAAAAAAATTGGAAAATTTTATGTTCGATAAATGAAGAAATGAAAAACTGGAAAATTCAAAAACTGTAATTTAAAAAATTGATAATCCCAAAAAACAAAAAACATAAAAAGTTGAAAAATGGGATAAGTAATTATAAGGTCGAAAAATCGAAAAATAAAGAATCGAGCAACCGTAAAGTTGTACAATTGAATAACTGAAAAAATAAAAAAACTGGCAGACCTTGTCGTATTCTAGGGGTTATGAAACGTCGAGAAAACATAAAAGTGGCCGGTCCTCAAATGGACTCGATTACAATACTTCCTCAGCTTACGTTTAGGAAGTAAAAATAAAGTTTTAAATAAAAAAAATCAGCAATATCTCTTGGCATTTTACTAATTTGTCTACTCAGGAATTCTAATTCTAAGGTTTTGATTGGCGTCTTTCTTTCTCCGATTTATTCAATTAATTTAGTTTTTGACTACATATTTGTTACTTTTTTAAATATTATTTTAGTAGTTACTTAGTACCGGTTCTGGTTCACTTTGACCTGAGTTCATCTGAGCTATAACGGGCATGGAACTTCTAGACCAGAGGTCAAACCAGACCACACAATCATCTGAAAAAAGTCATGAAGGTTCTAGGTCACTTTGATCTCATTTGGCCTCGGATAAACAGAATGTAGTGCCGGTTCTAGTTCAGGGCAACTGAGATCAAAGTGAACCAGAACCGCCACTATATAGTTATTAGCAGTTATATGATGGGGGTTCTAAGTCACTTTGACCTCATTTGACCCCCGACCATTTTTTGTCGTATGACTGTGTGGTCTACTTTGACCTAGCCATGTCAATGAACCGATTGAAGTGAACCGAAAGGAGTTAAAATTTGTTTCTATAAATTTTATTTTTGTTATAGCATTTAAATAAAAATTAATGATGTAATTCTGTAAAGTTTTTTGCATGCGTAAAACTAAAATTAGTTAAAACAAATCATAGTTGGCTCTTTGAGATGACGTCGTCAATTTTTTGATGGCATGAAGATAGGCGTTTGGTCAGCGTTTTACAATCTGTGTGATAATAATTTTGTAAGTAACTAAAAATTTCACGGCAAGTAAAGATATGTATATGAAAACGGTAGTCTTACTTTTTTATATTTTAGCAGATATGAAAGATGGTGAAAACATAGAATTAGTCATTCTTCGGGATGAATCTAGTTGAAAAACATCCCCAACTAATATTCTGGAAATAAAACAACTCTCCTTTTGTTTTCAATACTATACCGGGTGTCTGGAAAATGGCGGATTAGCTCTTCAGTACGTTATGTAAGAGAGTTTCGGCAGTCCCAAAAAAATAATAAAAAAAGTCTTTATGATGTAGACTACGAAGAAAACCTAATTTTATAAAAGTAAAATTGGTAACACTGTACGCACCTAATGCGCGAATACCTCCGGCTTATTTTTTGATTTCTTAGTAACGATGGTGACTGAAATCCACTTTTTATTTTTTTTAGGACAACAACTATAACAATCAGTAGTCATTAATTGTTGTGCATTATTATTAATCAAACCAGTTGTTAGTTTTTACTAATAAATAAACCAAAAAAAAAACAATTAATAAGATGTTTATAAATTATACAAACAAAAGCAAAACCAACACAAGAAAGATAAAACTGATTTTGGCAAATAACATACCCCCTAAGAAAAGAGAGGGTGGGTGGGCGGGGCTAGTATCTGCCAAGATAACACTGATTTTGGCAAATGACATACCTGTTAACAAAATAGAGGGCGATTTGGACCTTCGCTTTTTAACAGGGAAACTTATTGTTAATCCGCCATTTTCCAGACACCCGGTAGTAGAAAAAAAAAAAATTAAAAAACGTAGTTACACTTAAAGCTTCCTAGAAATGCTTGTATTTGTTTTGTTTTTCAGAAAAATGAAGTTACTGGCAGTGATTTTAGTTTTTGGGTTAATCGTCAGCGCATGCTATGGTTACTACGTGTATCCAAGGTTGCGCGTTCGTACTGAGACCGACATGGAGAAAGCTGAAATCTTTAAATCTTTGTCTCATTTCTTTGACGAGCTGAGCGTAGATGCCTCTGCTAATAATGGTATAGCATCTGGAAGACCGGCAGCAGCAAGAACTTAACAACGCCAATTTTGTGTATTTTAATTTATTTTAAGGTTTATTAAACACAGTAAAAAGTTTGTCAACAATTTACTTAATGTGTTGTTTTCATGTTGTGACAACTAATAATGATAAAACTGTAACTTTTGCGTTTCATTTTTCGTCAAAAAACTCGAAGGTACCTCGGATTTTCACAGGTATAATAACGTTGTTAAAAAGTGTACACAACTGTTGCCTTCTTACTGCTTCGATCATATCCTTCTGTACCCAGTTTTTTGTTGTGCTCTTTTCCGCAGTTTGGCCACCGCGATTAATATTCCGGTCGCTGCGGGACCGCAGCATATTTTCCCCGTTATCAATCCGGTTTTTATGGCCCTTTCTTCTGTTGTCGTAAAAATTTTGTTTTCATCGGACTTAATAAAGTTGGATGGGTTCGTCTGGAAAAATAAATAGAGATAGGTGGTTTGTTGGTTTCGAAAGCTTTGTGTCGAGATCCGGGTCGGCGCCTCTGGTCTTAGATGTTAGCTCGCATCAATCCACCAAAGCATAACCTGACGCACACACCTGTAGATAGGCCGTTTTAGCTGGCCTTGGGGGGAAATGGGATTAGATGAGATTCTTTCGGTTTGGAGATGGCTTTGATGGGGAAAGTTGCTTCGATTTATTATTATTGGAGTTGTTGTGGCAAAGTCGGTCGAATTGTGCCCTTAAAAATGTATGGTGTCGAGGGAGAGAAAATTGGGTGCCTTGTAATCAGGTGTGGAGGAAATATACGGAGCATGTGTTGGTTGGAGTGTGCTGAGGATTATAACGGGAAGGAGGCGGCGTGTGTGAATCCATTTTTGTGAAAGTGCCGTATTTGCAAAGAATTTAGAATATAAAAAAATATATATTGGATCATCGGTTGGAATATGATATTACATAAGAAAAATCTGTTACAGCATTTTATTGCAACTATTGAAATAAACTATTACGCAAAAATTTTATTAAAATCACATAATTAAATCAAATACGAACAGAACTACAATGTCAAGGATAGTCTAAAGTAATAAATAATTGAAAAGAAAAATAAAAAGTTAAGCTAAAAGACTAATTTCACCATATAAATTATTATTTCTTGTAGCAACATCATTCTCATGATGACTACATTCAATTGAGTTTAAATTTTCTATAACGTTTGTCTTTAATGATTTTCTATAAAATCATTCAGGGAAAAAATACCACTTACACTGTGAAAAAAATTCGTCAAAGATTACTTCGACAGAACTTTCCTCGGCCATAGAGTACAGCTTATCAAATCTAGCTCTTTCGAAAAATTAAAAGGTTTGATTTTGCGCATTTTATTGTTATTATTATTATTATTATTATGTGTGTAAGTTGGTCAACAGGTAATACCCAATTATAGACTAACGGTTAGCGGATCATCAAATTGACCTCTCTCAAACAACAGCTATAAATTACTGTTGTCCCTATACAAGGTGAGATCTAAAGTCAACGGGTAATTAGAGATTATTAATTAAGGAGCAACCAGGAATTTTTACTAAAATAAATGTAACATGTTTTGATGGCAGTTATAGATAGAGCACATTTCATATAGAGGCGAGTATTTCTGAATGTCAATCCTTGGCGTCGGCAGATAGAAAAGTTGTTTAAAGCGCTATGATGGCCTGGGTACCCAAAAGTGAAGCTGTTCCAAAAGCTGTGGACAATCGATGCCACAATGTATTAGTTTTTCAAGGGAATATAGAGAAGCTCTGATACGTCTAGTCTTTAAGTCGTTATATCCAAATCTGATCAAAAGGGCAGATTAGGGTAGGCCTCTAGGAGGATAAATAGCGTCTATTTTGAATCCTAAAAACTTGAGAAAACGCCTCTGCATTTTTTTCTATAGATTGAATGTAAAATTGAGCTGAAGGAGCCCATACAATACTGGCGTATTCAAGTTTTGATCTTACGAAAGCACAATATAACATTTTAAAAGTAGTGATGTTACTGAAAGAACTGGACGATTTGATGATGAACCCAAGGGATTTAAACGCTTCAGCAATTATATTACCAATATGTAGAGAAAACGTGAGTTTAGAATCAAACATTATTCCAAGATCTCTGAAGGAATCCACTCTTGATAAGATATTCAAGTTAATAGTGTAATTGAAACTAAGCTTACAACTTTTATTTGTTAGAGACATAATGTAGCATTTGCCAAAATTTATAGGTAACATGTTAGATTTACTCCAGTTTTCAAAAGTGTGAATATCTTCCTGTAGAATTTGACAGTTTTATGGCAAAAGCTTAAATAAAAATATGTATCTAATGTTTGAGTAAAGGTAACGAAACGTGCTAACCGTTTGTTATAAGTGAGTTTTTCTATTACAAAATTTTGTGTGGATGTCATCCACATTTTTCCAAGGACGAATGTATCAGTTTTGATAAATGCATTGTAATATTAATAATAAAAGTATTGTATTGTTGTTATTCTTGAATAATAACTTATAATTAATACAATAACGAAACAATTTAATCACGTCTGCCGTATGTAACAAATAACAGAGTTGCGTCTGAAGACTGAACTGAAAATCATTTATAGTACTGGTAATTTAAGACAAACTAGCGATAACACTTATCAACCTGTAGATGTGAGAGTGGATCAGAAACTAAACTAAAATATGTTTTCTACAAATTGCAATAGTCGGATCACAATGCCGACGGTCCAGACTTTTTTACTGCCCTGACTTCGGCTTATTGAATAAAACACTACATTTTATTTTGATTTTCGATGTTGTAATGCACATTCGGTTAATTATAACTTGTCTAGATCTAGGGGAGGCTCAGCTACGTCCTTGTCTATGGGTTATAAGATACCGAGAAAATATGAAAGTACCAAATTGGCCGATGAATTCCATTACTGTACGTCCTTAGATTATCCTCCATAAGAAAAAGAACTTGAAAATGTTTATGTTTATACATCGGAAGAATGTCACGTAGAAATTAGTTTGTTTTGATTGAGTTGGTCCTTCAAAACAGAGGAACAAAACTATTAAGTAGTAGGCTACAATCGACAAAGTGTTCCGAGTATCATTATTATAATTCTTGTTAAATAAACACGTTTGTATTTTCACATTTTCGGGAAAATGGGGTGACTCGTTCTTAATTTGATCAATAAAAAATATGAACGCAATGATGAATCACAAGTAAAAACTCATCATATTTTGCATATTTTAGGTGGAATTTATTCGGCAAAATTTTGAGATGACATCATCAATGTTTTGGGAGGAATAAACAGATTTATTTTGATTAACAGTTTACCATGCTTACAATGACTTTAAAACGTCTATAAGAATTTTAAGCATTCAGTTTTGCAATTCTTGATTTATTCAATAAAATAAATTGGCTGATTAATTAATTTTTTGAGTCATCCTGTATAAGCAAATCTAAAAAATATGAATGCACATTTTAGATAGGATTTATTCGGCAAAATTTTGAGATGACGTAATCAATTTTTGGGGTTGATAAGCAGATATATTTTTATTAAAAAGTTACCATACTTACAATAATTTCAAAACGTCTGCAACATTTAAAAGTTTGCAGTTTTGCAATTCTTGATTCAAACAATAAATAAATTGACTCAGTACATTAATTTATTTAAGACACCCTGTGTAAGAAAATCTAAAAATTATTAATGCAGGGATAAGTTACAAGTAGAGACTCATCATAGTTTGCACATTTAAGATAGGATTTATCCAGTAAAATTTTGAGGTGACGTCATCAATTTTATAGTGGGATGAGCACATACAGACAGACAGACGGAAAAGGGAGACATATTTCTTCGTACTCTAGGGGTCATGAAAGGTCGAGAAAACGTAGAGGGTCGGCCGACAAATTCATTTATAGTACTTTCTTCGTTTACACTTGGGAAGTAAAACGTGTGATTTTACCGTACATAAATGTAATAATTACCCATAATAAATACGTGATTTTACCTTAATTTTTTGTGAAAATAAAATTTCACCTCAAAATTAAAGTACCATCACAGGTGAAATTTTATTTTACCTCAAAATTAACGCTAAATCACTTCTTTAATATGGGTAATCATTACAATTACGTGTGGTAACATTTCATTTTTTACAGTGTAGTAGACATATGTCAATTATGAAGGGTTTTTACTATTTTTAATTCGAAACTTGGGAGTAAGCACTATAAAAGGTAAATGGCTATTTTCATGTTTTATCGACGTTTCGTGATCCATGGAGTATGTAACAATAGGTCTCCTGTTTTGTTTTTTTTTGTAGTCTGTCGTCCGTGGTGATATTTATTAGACAGATAATCTCTAAAACTATGGGCGGAATGTCGTCAAAATTTATATCTACTTTAAGAATATCATGCAGATAGTAAAACCAAAATTTTGCAATTTTATAAAATAACATACTCATGTACTTGGATCCGCCTTAGTGTTTAACCTTGGCAACCAGACGTTCCAAAAAAATTGAAATTATGTAAAAACATTTTATAGCAGTCTAATAGGAACGTAGAGCAATGTAAAATTTATTAGTGAATTTTTAAAATATAAAAAGAAGAAATTTTGGAATATTTCGTCATTAAATACAAAATTTAGTTGAAAGCACTTGAAAAACCCTGTATGCTCTTCCTCCTCAAATGAGCTGCCATTGGCTTATCCACAAACCGTGAATATTACTGCAGATGAAATATTACAGAAACACATATACAGGGTGAGTCATCAAGGGCGCCGTCTTCAATATCTCACTAATTACTGAGCTAGATAGAAAAAAAGGCACAGGCCAAAGTTATACGGTTCTTGGAAGACTAAACTATAAAATTACTTTTAAATATACACAGTGTTCTGTGATTATTTTTTAAAATCTCTGTTACAATATTTTAACATACAGAGTGTTTATAAAAAAATGCGATGAGATAGCACGTCCCATATTCATTATTGCATTTTACTCTATATCATATTTTCATTCTTCCCACATGTTGATGTGTCTCTTAAAAAAAAGCAACTGTGAACTTTAAATATAGAAAATACTGAACATAAAAGAAAGAGGACAAAAAATAGAATAAAATAGAAAACCGAAATATCGATATTTGAAAATTGCAATAATTAAAATTGTTATAATACTCTGAA